ATAAGTACTTGGATGGGGATTCTTCATCATGGTCAAGGCCCGCGGTGAAATCGCTCTCAACATCAAAGCTGCACTTTGGGTCAAGAGTAAGCCACTTGGTCACATTTGTGGCCATTTTCGTATGCCATCCCGCAGTCCATCATCCGCCTTTTATCCAGTCCAATGTCTCATGGAATTTGAACACTCGGTGCAAGGGTGATCATCTCAATGCGGTTGGTTGTGTTCCATCGGCCAGATTGGAAATGGCTGGTTGTCCTCGTACTTCTCTTCGTCATGACCACGTCAGGGTGAGTCATCATACTATCAATTGTCGGGTTCGATTCGGCACGGTCTCAGTCTGAATCATCGCGGCGTTCTCAGTATACACGTGATCTAAGAGCCTAATCTTGAGATTTCCACTGGCAGTTTTACAAATATTCTTTAGAAGGATTTCTCAGAAAAAACCTTTTTGCTAGCTGGATCTACATGAGCTGGCGAACAGCTAGAGTAAGCGTAAAATAAGGAAAGATTACAACGAGATTCTGAGACTCAGACTTAACATGATTTCGTGATGCTGTGTAGTCATTATGTCCGAGGTCTGTGCGGTGGCATCAACTTGTCCTCTGCCACTCCGCGCACTCAGCATCGTGCTGGAATACTTTCCTTTACCTCTGCTTTTTTGACCCCACCCACCTTCCCTTTTTATGGGTGCTAGCGCTTGGTATGCCTTGATCTGATCTTGTCTTTCACTCAGACCAGGGTTCTATCTTGTGTACCACTGGTTGGGAGATTCAAGTTTTTCAGTACAATTTTCAGTGAAAAATGACGTTAGTTTTTCAGCAGTTTTTCGCCAAAAATTGTGCTGAAAAATTCAAACATTCTTCACCACAATTTGCAGTGGAAAACAAGGTGAAAAACTTGAAACAAAATTTTGAAATTTCATGGCAGATTTTCACCAAGTTTTCACTCATGTTCCAACCTGAAAACAGAGGTGAAAAACTTAAAACTTTTTTCACCAGAGTTCTCAGTGAAAAAAGATGTGTAAAATGTGTGAAAAATATTAAAGAAAACTTGATGAAAAACTTGAAACCCACATTCCCTGGTTTTCATACATTTTTCATCATATTCTGATGTGTTTTTTTGGTGAAAAATGTGCTGAAAAGATAGGTGTTTCTTCACCACTTTTTTCAGGGGAAATACAAGTGAAAAACTCAAGATATTCTTCACACATTTCTCACTTGGAACCAAGGTGAAAAATGTAAAATAGTTTGATTCAAATTTTTCAGTGAAAATTGCAAAATAGTTGTTTTCAAGTTTTACAGCACAAATATTTCAAGTTTTTCACCTGAAAAATCTGGTGAAAAACTTGAAACCTAGTTTCATTGTGAGATAGTATTGACTCCCACAGTGAGGTCAGAAGCATCAACACTCATTCGACTAGGTAGGTGCAGATTCATGTTCCCCCAGCCTTATGAGTCCAGAATGATCATCGGACGAAAAATCCACCATCAAAATCACCTTCTCGCACCTGAGTTGTTGCTGCAAACAGTGATTTTGGCAAACTCTCTGGACGGAATTTTTTTCTGTGGGCTCGCAGTGTGGTGGATTTTCCCGCTGGAGGTCTGGACAGTTGCATGAGACCCTAATGAGTCCAGAATGATCATTAGACAAAAAATCCACCATCAAAACCACCTTCTCGCAGCTGAGTTGCTGCTGCAAACAGTGATTTAGGCAAACTCTCTGGACGGAATTTTTTCCCGTGAGCTCGCAGTGTGGTGGATTTTCCCGCTGGAGGTCTGGACGGTTGCATGAGACCCTGATCAGCTCAGAATGATCATCGGACAAAGAATCCACTATCAAAATCACCTTCTCGCAGCTGAGTTGGTGCTGCAAACAGTGATTTTGGCAACGACTCCTCTCGATCCTTCCGAGACTTCCCGCTAGTCACATTTATGGTAGACATCAGCTCGAGATTAAAAATGGACCCCCTTGGCCTGGAAGATGCCACGAGCTCACCTAGTGCGAGCTACTTTTGGAACTACGGGAAACACTTGATTATACGAGATTGGTGTTATATCTGTATGTATCGACCTTCTGGCATCCTCTGATGCCTCCGAGATGTTCCAATCAATCCAACCGTTCCAGCCTCCAGACTTCCGGAGGCCATCCACACCGGGTTTTTTACGCAATGAAGCGTTTCCTGTTTTTTTTCCCTTGTTCTAATTTTACTTACTTCTCGAGCGGACTTCACCAATCTGCAACTTTGACTTGCAGCTTCATCTGCCCATGATTACTTAAGTAGGTAAGGAACTTTACAGCCGTACATAATTATGACTTAGTATAAATACTCAATATGCTTGTATGTAACTTCAGTTTGATTATTAACATTCTTTACTACTCGTCTTGCTTCTGAGTTCCCTCCGACTCCGATCCTCCGAAGCTCCGACTTTCATCGGAACCACTTCAACTCTCGCCAGTCCAGGTGGTACACACACCCTTACCTTCTGGTGGTGTTTGCTATTGATCTGATCCCTCCGATCCTCCGACCAGAACTCCAATCAACCGGATCATTCCTCCAACTCCAACTTGGGATATAAAAATTGGCTATGGAGCACCAGGCATGATGACCCACCATTAAATCTCAGTCTTTGGGCTAGAACATTGGTTAGGCATTCTGAACGTCGTTCAAGAGTTGACCTGCATTGAGCCAACTATGATCCAGTCCACGCTGATACGTGCACGGGACTAAGAACTAACCCCCTTGGATCTGCCTAAAAGTGGATCAGAAAGATGCGGAGAGGCCGGGGGACCATGAATCTGCACCTACCTAGTCGAATGAGTGTCACTGCGAGCCCAGGGAAAAAAATTCCGTCGCTTGAATTGCCTGAAATAACTGTTTACAGCAACAACTTAGCTGCGAGAAGGCGATTTTGGTGGTGGATTCTGGGTCCGATCATCATTCTGGACTCATTAGGGTCTCATGCAACCATCCAGGATTCCAGTGGAAAAATCCACCACACTGCGAGCCCACGGAAAAAAATTCCGTTCAGAGAGTTTGCCCAAATCACTGTTTGCAGCAGCAACTCAGCTGTGAGAAGGTGATTTTGCTTGTGGATTCTTGGTCTGATGATCATTCTGGACTCATCAGTGTCTCATGCAACCGTCCAGACCTCCAGCGGGAAAATCCACCTCACTGCGAGCCCATGGAAAAAAATTCCGTCCAGAGAGTTTGCCTAAATCACTGTTTGCAGCAGCAACTCAGCTGCGAGAAGGTGGTTTTGATGGTGGATTTTTTGTCTAATGATCATTCTGGACTCATTAGGGTCTCATGCAACCGTTCAGGCCTCCAGCGGAAAAATCCACTCCACTGCGAGCCCACAGAAAAAAATTCCGCTCAGAGAGTTTGCCAAAATCACTGTTTGCAGCAACAACTCAGGTGCGAGAAGGTGATTTTGATGGTGGATTTTTCGTCCGATGATCATTCTGGACTCATAAGGCTGGGGGACCATGAATCTGCACCTACCTAGTCGAATGAGTGTTGATGCTTCTGACCTCACTGTGGGAGTCAATACTATCTCACAATGAAACTAGGTTTCAAGTTTTTCACCAGATTTTTCAGGTGAAAAACTTGAAATATTTGTGCTGTAAAACTTGAAAACAACTATTTTGCAATTTTCACTGAAAAATTTGAATCAAACTATTTTACATTTTTCACCTTGGTTCCAAGTGAGAAATGTGTGAAGAATATCTTGAGTTTTTCACTTGTATTTCCCCTGAAAAAAGCGGTAAAAAAACACCTATCTTTTTCAGCACATTTTTCACCAAAAAAACACATCAGAATATGATGAAAAATGTATGAAAACCAGGGAATGTGGGTTTCAAGTTTTTCATCAAGTTTTCTTTAACATTTTTCACACATTTTACACATCTTTTTTCACTGAGAACTCTGGTGGAAAAAGTTTTAAGTTTTTCACCTCTGTTTTCAGGTTGGAACATGAAAACTTGGTGAAAATCTGCCATGAAATTTCAAAATTTTGTTTCAAGTTTTTCACCTTGTTTTCCACTGCAAATTGTGGTGAAGAATGTTTGAATTTTTCAGCACAATTTTTGGCGAAAAACTGCTGAAAAACTAATGTCATTTTTCACCAAAAATTGTACTGAAAAACTTGAATCTCCCAACCAGTGCGGACTTGAGCATACATCGAAACTCAATGGGCGTGCTTTGCGCTATAAACGCAAGTACATGTATTGAACTCCGCCAGAATTTAATTCAGCCGCCGCAGGAATTCAGAGGAGGAACACGTTATAATTTCATAGTCAAGCTCAGACCGCCACAAAAAAGGAGAGCCTGTGTTATCTGCCAGTGCCAGGTCTATCGCACCAGTTCTAACGCGAGCCTGAGCAGCTTACATTGACCAAGACTACTTACTGTAATATCGGACACAGCAAAGCCGTTCGAGGACAGGTTCTTCGAGGACACAAAGGACAAACCCGCAACAGGGACAAGACAAACACAGCTGTCTTCGCGGCTAAGGAGGCGAATAATTCAACTCTTTGCCTTCTGCACCGCCAAAAAAAAGAAAATGAGAAAAGAAGAACTTGGAAATCCCGCTGCGACCTCGATCGAGTGTGTAGGTCTCGACGGCGAGGAAGCTGAGCGCCGTGGCGCTGAACTGCACGGTCGCGAGTGCAGCAGAAGTCTGGGTTTTCGGACATTCAATGATTTATTAGCATCAATATTCACTGTCAGTTGTGCGCCGGCCTTGCGAATCGAGCGAGCTCTGAGCTATATTAATTTTATGACCTCGCGTAGTTCTCGCCGCTAGAGTACCCCAAATGCGCCAGGCAAAGAAAGAGTGGGGGAAACATTGAACTTGAAGCCAAATTTTAATGAAATTTATCTTGGAGTTCGCGGGGTAAATCCAGGAGTTCGAGTCGAGTCGGCACGAATTCGAACCACAGTGAGGGCGGGTTCAACGTGGTCCGTGGAGTGAAATGATTTCGTGAGAAAAAGATAAATATGGCCTAGCCCTGAGTCGAACAAGGAACTTCCACAAAAACCTGTCATGCATACGAATGTAGAGCAAAGGTGTTACCATTACACCACTAGGCCATTATCCTCTGCTTTCCCCATAGGTACATGGCTACTGGCTTTTCGAGGTGCGAAACCGTGCAATTGATCAGCCACCGCTTGCGGCATCTACCGGGCCCATCAAGTAATGGTCTCCCAGAAGTCTCGCATTATGGGTACGAAAACATGAAGTACAAACATGCCTTTGCAGATGTCACCCATATCCGCGCCCATAGCGCCTACAACCAAGGCCCGAAGCGCGATGCGCACGTAAATTTAGAACGAATGGGAAAACAGCCTGAACGCCCGAGGACAAGGGATGGTGCGTCATTATACGCACGGATCGCCGGCGCGCAGCCAAACAATAAATGAAAGATATAATGAGACATAAAAGATGGACAGAATAAGGATTGCCGCGCACGAGAAGGGAAGGAATAAAGATGCGCCAGACGCAAAAGATACGCGTTAAACATGCACGGCGGCAGGAAAGGATTGCTTAATTGAAGTTATTGGTTTAATGGAGATCCACTGGCAGCACACACGTCCAGTCGGCGAACATCGCACATCGATTCCCGCCAAACATCCGCCGCGGCACCAGCACGGGGAACCAACACCGACGACGGAACGCAGAGCACAGCAAACACCGAACTCGGAAGGCGCGCGTCGAGCTCGGAGCGGACGTCGCCCCCGAGACAGCGCGCACCAGCGGCGTCCACCCTCAAGTTAAGGAAGGCGCCCGCCAAAGACAGCGGCCGCGCGTGCGTCATCCGCCCTCAGCGCACTGCGCGCAGACGACGCGTCTGTTCACGCTGCCCGCTCAATATCTGTGCGGGGGCGCCAAGGAGGGCGTCCGGCATGCGCCTGCGCGACACCGGACCACACCACTAGGCAATGGCGCGCGAAAGGGGCAGCAACCCACTGCAAACCCTGCGTCCCCGGAGGCCCCGAGCACCGACGTGACTCGAGGACGTGACGAGGCACATCGCTGTCACCAGGCGGTAGCGCGAAACGCGCTGCAAACGAATCCGAAAGAAAATGCGCGCAAATCCGATCAGAAAGTCCGTCCTCCTGGGCGGTGGACAGCCCCGCCCGCCGACAGACACGGGCCCAACCCCGTTTCCGTGTCAAACGGCGAGGACGCAGATGCGGGGATGTATGTGCGTACGGACGCTGTCGCTGTAGACCTGGAGCGGAGGCGGGCGAAGCGGAAGAGGAGGGGAGCGTTCAACACACGCAAGGTACGAGCGTCGTATGTGTTGAAGCTCTGTCTAGGGGACACTGCAGCGGCAGGGACGTACGCGCGTTTGAATTTCGGATTCGTGCGGCTCTGTGGCTCGAACTGCACCCACCGCACTAGTGCTGCTCGTTGTGTGTGTGCTTTTGGCGGAGAGCAAGCTCTGGTCATCGTCCTCCGATCGAGGCTCCGACTTGGAGTCGCGCAGCATTTCCTTGTGTGCTTTTACTGTGTAGGCTCATCACATCGAAAGGCGGGCGAGGCTTCGGAGCTACTCGAAGGTAGGGGCGACCTGTAGCTGCTTTTGCAGACGGTCCGTCGGATCAATCGGATGGTCTTTTCTGGGTGTGACGGGTGATGCGTCACCGGTTAACTCCGTTTCCTCATTTCTTTACGTCTATTTCTGGTCTTTCCAGCGTATGTTCGATGCGACTACCGGCGGGGGGCATGGTGACAAAGGAAGGTGCGCCGTGCGGCCTGCGAATTCGGATCGTGTGTGCACCGTGAAATCATCGACGCGTATGCGGCCACCGGCGTCAACTGTTCTTTTTAGAGCGCTGGCTCTGCCAGGAGTCGTGACTGGATCCCATGGCTTACGTTGGTTCCATGCATCTACTTGACGTGGACGCTCGACGTATCCTCCATACAGCTCGGAGGTCCTGCAAGGGCAAAAATTGGCAATGAAACACACTGAAGGACTTAGGAAGGACTTGCTATATCCAGATCCGGATATCCATCCGCGCAAATGCGAAGGCGCCGGCGTACAAACCCTGCCCCACAGTATACGAGTCGCTGGCTGTCAAGCTCGTGCGCCTAGCCATATCTGGCTCAAGTATCCGACAACTATCGAGAGTCGTGCCTACATCTCGCCGGGATACTACAACCGAGATTTCCTCAACAGATCTGGGCAGAGTCTCGAAGGATACGACTCGGATGCTTCAAGCTAGGCAAGTTCTCTATTAGTGAATTGTGCCGATTTCTCTGATTTGGCAGCCTTCTTCCTGCTGCTGAAACCTTGCACCGATGCCCGAATCATCCGCGCTCTATCTGCGCCTATATTTCTGCACGTATAGCCCGACAAAGCTGTGTGGCCTAGACCGATTTGAGACCTGGCCGCTGTACAAGTGGACCACGACCAAGTATTCTTGTGCTCATTCTAGGAACTTCTGAAACTCTGCACCCATATATCGAGATATCTCAGCATGAATGATGTCGCACCGGACCGCAGTGGACTATGGAAGCCCATGATGTAGCAAAAACACCTGGACAATTGAGGACAATGAAATTGGTCCAACAGCTGTAAGATTGCAGACACTGAGACAGGTTGGAACTGGTGCATTGTTCACGGCAACGGTCGAATCCCATGAACACCTCACACAATATCTCACGCGTTCTTTAGAGTGCAGCTGGCGTTCTCATCGTCGATTCTTCGATCTCAAACACCAGAATCGGAATCTTGAACGTCACGTCGACTCAAGTGCTGTTGGCAGATGATCCCCGCCGTTGCACTGTAGCCCGGACGGGCCGGACAAGATACATTGCGGGCGTACATGCAGGTATATTACATGCAGCTATGTGCTATCTTTCTTTTTTTTACTTTTATGGTTAAACGATGGACACTCGCAGTTATATAAACTATGTAGTCTCGAGTCGTCTCTCCTCAGACTTCGTTCCATTTCTATGTGCGAAGACTGAGGTGAGCGACTCTCATTCTTACTTACTTTCTTATGCTGACTTGTACCTAGTTGATTCTGATCTAGGTGAATATATCATTTGACTCTGTGCGCGAAGACTGAGTTGATGCTGATCTAGCTCTCGCGCATTTTGTCTCATCTTAACAAGTCAAATGCTTTGCCAGGTTTTCCCCTTCGCGCTATCGGCAGGCTCGAGTCTCGCGAGAGTCCTGATATTTGGTCAGTGTGGGGGGATTGGCTGGACAGGAGAAACCGGTATGTTTCTGCACGCTCCCCCACACTCCAAACTTTTTCCTGACGTCGTCTACGCATTTGTAGTTTGTGCCGATGGATTGACTTGCACAACGTCGAATTATTACTACTCTCAATGTCTCCCCGAATTTCTCCCCTAGACAGATGCTTCAACACATACGATGCTTGTACCTCGTCTGTGCTGAAGTTTATTAATTATTAGGCGCGGGGGTCCGATCAGGGTAAAACCTTGTTACATAATTTTACATAATCATTCCCAAGCGCTTGTCTACAGTCCCTCTCATTTGTTTCATTCCATCTGAACCTGTATGTCTCGCTTACAAATTGGTTTCTCCAAATTTTTAAACACCATTTGAAGTCGTGGTGAATACTTTGGAGAGAGGTACCGTGACGTGATTTATGATTTATCGCCCCGCATCTTTCTTATCTTGTACCGGTTCCCGAAGCCTTTGCTGGTCTAAATAAATGCATCTACGTGTGGGACCTTCGCTGCTCCCACCCAATGCTAATATTCCTCTCCCCATTCACAATAAATTTATTCACGGTTCTGCAAACCCTCCAGCATGTTTTCGTTGATCCTGATTCAGAACCTTCCGCTCTCCGCTTTCCCACAGGCTCTGGGCTCCACTCCCTCCAGTCTCACCATGGATCTATCTGTTTTCTACTGACCATCTAGGAATTAACCTGGAGCTATTTATAGTCCTGAACTTGTTCGAGACGCCTGGGAGACGTCGCCGTTCCATCCACACATGCACGCTTCTGCCTTGTCGTCGACAAATTCCAGAAGTTTATCCGCTGTTCCTCGTCCGCATTGACTCGTTAAATCTGCGTCTGCATCTGCTTGAACACGAATTCCTGTATAAATAAAACTTTGAGCCAATATCTGCTCCGCCACCATAACCATTCCCTGATCCGAGAAATACTACTAGTCAGAGCATTCAACAGGAACCCCAAAAAGCATTGACCTGATGGTGTAGTGGTAACACAGCTGCTGTGCATAGAGTCGATATACGAAGCAGAAGATTCTTTGTTCGACTCAAGGCCAGGCCATGTGGTGCTTTGAATTTCTTTTTCTTTTTGTCAGCAAAAAAATTGAGAAGGAATTAAGTGCTGTGAAGTATGGCGGTCCGTTTGCACTTTTATTCATCCAGCATATTTTCTGGCTTTTCCAGTGTTTTTCAGTCCTTTTCGCCTACTCACTAACTTTTGCTGAAAACATACAAACTTTTATTCTCACCAGCTTTTTTTTTTGGTACTTGAACAAGAACACTTTTTTTTAAATGCAACTGCAAGCCATTGTTTTGTTTTGGGGCGATCAGAGTCATCCGGAGACCATGTGGCTGGGTGCCCATTTGGGATATCTTCAGTCATACAGCCCAGCACTGTCAGAATCAGAGGCAGAAAGGGACTAGGAGGTGTGCCGTAGCATTTGCTTTGATATTGATAGCCATAAATTGTCAGTAGCGATACAAATAGCAGTGTAGAGCTGCATCTTGGAGTCATCAGAGCCTTTAATTCAGACGTTTTCATGCTCTGGGGATATTCCATGATGCAGGGCCTCATCAGTGAGACTCAAGAAGGAGTATGAACTGATTAGAAGTGCATCTGAGGATATCCTGAGCTCATATGTGCTACAAAAGCTCTGATAACACGTAGAAGTTGTGTTATTTGCTAGTATATCTTGATCCCAAATGGACGTGTCTGGTCACATGATTTACTGTGCCGTACGCAACCAAAATAAAACTTTTTTTGACAAGGGTAGCAATAAGTTAGGGAGACAAGGGAACATGTATTTATGACATCCAAGAAAACTTTTATCACCAAAGTCTGAGAAAAAACACAGGACAGTGAAAAGGACTGAAAAAACACTGGAAAAGCCAGAAAATATGCTGGATGAATAAAAGTGCAAATGGACCGCCATAGTGAAGGGCATAGGCCTGGTGGTATAATGGTAACACACCTGCTTCATATATTCAAGAATCCTATATAGATGAGTCAATCGTGGACCTGCATGTATACTTTATTTTTGTGGGACAGTAAATTGGACTTGGCACCGCTCTGCAGCTGGGTGGGGTGTTGAGCTGTGAAATTTCCAGTAGTAAATTTCTCGGGTGTGTTGTGCTGAACTGTCTGTTTTTGCGCGGTTATTGGTACCAAGCAAATTGTGAAGGAACTAAAGCAGACCGGCAATTACCGCGTGGTAGAGTAGCCGGCGATCAAACCTCAACGACCGGTCCGAGTCCGCACTCCTCCATCAATTGGGAAGCTGTGGATTCCGAAGCCGAAAAGGGGTTATATCTCAAAACTCCACGGAGTTCAAGGATTAAGTTCGGTCATTTTTGCACCACCTCTGCCAGTGTGAGCCTCAAGGATTTGTTTGGAGTCAACCGTGGGGTTTATTCCTCAGCCGCGTCAGCGCACGGAGCTTGTTTAGTTGTACTTTGCAACATCCATCGAAGAAATCCAACCACTATATCTAACCCCTCCGTTAGATTCCCAATAAATTCCTCATGGACAGCGAACTTCAAAAGAGATTTCTGTGACAAAGGTCTGCATCAGCTTTGCTTGCATTGCGGCCAATTGGTGCCGCCATCTCCAGTCTGAAGCACACAATTGTGTTTTGCAGCCCTCACGAGCTTTCCTCGTATTGGTTTAATCTTACAAGCTTACCTTCGGTGAGCTGTAAGCAAGTGTCCTCAACTGAGGCGAAGTTGAAACTCAGCCGGCGATTGGATCAACGGCTTGTCGTCGGCCCGAATTGAACATGGCAGTGCGGCACGGTTTTGGAACGGTTATACTGGGTATCAATGAGGACAAACACGAAAAAGAAATCGAAAAAGGAGGGAGGGAGAAGGGGAGAGGGGAACTCAAGGAAAATTGGTTGTACACCTTCATTAGACTTTCGACAGGCTCAGATTTTTTGGAACTTGCTTCAGAAACACAGAGAGAAAATTACAGCTCTCTGCGGAACTTAGTGCGCGGCCTATTTTCTATTAAAATTTGATGTTTTCACGAGATCAGCTGTTGTGAGCTTAATTCTGGCCCGTTTCCCTTGAGAGTAGGACCGATCGATTCCCACTTCAATTCCGGAGGGCTCTGGACCCCACAATCGTGCGGATGCGTGGGAATTTCCTTTTTCGGCAAATCTCGAGGTGTCCACGCAGAACAGCTGTGGTATTAGCAAGAATCATCCTATTAACCTGAATTTTGGATATGTTACACTCAGATGTATGTATGAGGGCTCCATGAGCTCAGATCAGCTTTCCCGGACACAGTCCACATTTAGTGTGGAGTAGGAAATTAATTGCAATTGGAGCCTTCACCAAATTTTAATCAGGAGGTATATTCGCCATCCAAGGGTTTGGGGCTCTCGGGGACCTATGTGAGTATATCATATCCAAAATCTAGGTCAATTGGATGAGTGTGGCTGATACTATGGCTGTTCTGCGTGGACACCTCGAAATTTTCTGAAAAAGGAAATTCCCACGCATCCGCACGATTGTGAGGTCCAGAGCCCTCCGGAATTGAAGTTTGAATCGATCAGTCCTATTTTCAAGAGGAACGGGCCCAAATTGAGCTCACAACAGCCAATCTCATGAAAACATCAAATTTTAATAAAAAACGGGCCGCGCCCTAAGTTCCGCAAAGAGCTGTAAATTCATTTTTATCCTGTCGGAACCAGCCGCTACAGTATTTTTATTGTCATACTATTAGTATGAAGCATGAGAGCTGTCAGAGAGCAATGGATAATAGACACCACTGACTGGTCAAGTGTTGACTGCCAGTAGGAAAGGCCCGTATTAGAATCCTTTGCAGAGTTCCCCCGCAACCTTTGCTGCGTCGATGAGCTGTACTTATGAGGGGTGCACAACTAAGGCTGGATAAAATTACGGTTACATTTGATTATAATCTATTATAATCTTAGGATTACGATTAAATATCCTCTCCCCGTAATATGACAGCCTTAAAATTATAGTTGGTACATTACATTACAGTACCATTATATTACGATATGGGCCTTGTATTTAATCATAATATTAAGTAAGAAGTCGGCTTGAGGATATGCCTTAGCTTGGGCCCGGGCTTGACTGGAAGTGCTCTGAGACATAGTATCAGGTAGAATTAATCGTTAATTACCCAATCTTCACTCACAGGGACCCCTAATAACCTTCTGCGCCCTTAACAGGAGCGAAGTGATGTCCATCACTGAATGATCAATCCATCAAAAAATGTTGAAACTTGTCGTTACTGTCCGCACCCAGATATATGATGAAGATGATTACATCCCGACATGCTTAAAGTGCCAACCATTGAAATTCGATCCCGATGATACGACTGGTTTTGAACCACCTGTGTAATCACGCATTTTCGTGATTCTTAGCACTATTCTAAGAACCTCTGTTCAGTGGTATACAATTAGAGCCAGAGTGAGCTCCGAACTGCCGACTGTGTATTAATGATGCTAGAGGAGTCAGCACGCACTGAGGAGACATAGAAGCGCGGTCCTTATAAACATGGGGGATCCGCTTCATGATCCTAGAAGTGTTCGCGAACTCCGTCAGACAGAGTTGTTTCTTGTGATCTGGGAAGCAGCTTGCCCTGCAGGCTAGATACCATACCCAGGAGATATAACAAAAGCCTTGACACCCTTCGTGGATTGTACTGCACCAGACAAGGGCAGGGAACAGTTCGCGAACACCACTTCCATGCGGGAGGGCTGCAGAACGAGTTCGCGAACAAACATTAATATTCGCGAACCTCACTCTCAGCAGACTTATGGCTGGAAGGGCTTCAGAACAAGTTCGCGAAAACATTGATATTCGCGAACCTCACTTTCAGCGGACTTATGACTGAAAGGGCAAAGGAACGAGTTTGCGAACCAGGTGAAATGTTTGCAAACCTCTGACTATTGGTGCCTGGCCAGAGTTGGGTCAAGCAGTAGCCAGCCCTGGGTCTAGGGGACCACATGTGATGATCGCGACGCGGTCACGAGGACCAAATACTGCCAAAGCGGAAACATATTGGTGATTGGAGTATTCTTGAGCCGAAGCCGAAGGGCCTCGTGTTTGCGAACGGCCGAACAGACTATTTACCGCTCTTATGAGAGCAGGGCAGATACATAGCAGTGGATTATCAACCATGCCGATGTGGGACGTGTATGCCAAGGCGGCAGGCCGGGTCGCGATGAAACGGTGCACCTAAGTATAGGCTGAAATGCAGTAAGGTCCTCAGATAGATGCCAACGAACAGCAACACACTAAATCACTAACACACACTACACACACAACACACAACCAATACGAAGTGCGAGATAATTGAGTTCGGGTCACCCTGCAGTATACAGGTAAGATGGAACTTCGTGGGACGGGATCAACTCAAAGAAGGATCGATAGAACCTCTAGGAGCCTACAGTAGTTTGAAAACCACTAAAAGTGCACAGCTCTGACACAAGGTATCGGAGTTTAGGTAGATGAAAGCTTGCTCTGGGAACCACAGTAGGTTCGCGAACTGTGCGCAGCTACGACCAGCCTACTAAACGGGGCTGATTCCAATAGCGGACATGACTACGACCGTTCTACTAAGGCGGGAACGATTCCAATAGCCCAACTAACGAACTACGACCGGCCTACTATGCGTGGACGATTCCAATAGAACACTAGCCTGCCTCGTGCAACTTAACAGAGGACTTTCGCGAACTCGCCGTGACCCTCCACGAGACGAGGTTGAAGTGATTGGCTTAGATGATCCTTTAAAGCTTATGGAGCCAACAAAATCAAAGCTTCTGTATTAATGAATCTACACAAGAGAAATGTTTTATATCACAAATCTCCGCACAGATACAGAGGACACCAACGCCTTTGACAGGTGGCTTCGACTTCCGTCTAAGCGCAACCAAGGGGGCAAGGATGAACTGCTGTATGGCGGGTTCTACGTGGTCTTTTATAGGTTTTCGATAAATACATGACAGAGCAGTATGAATAAGAGAAAATAAGAGAGAATGAGTAAACGGAGCGATTCGGAACGGAATAGGAATAGTGACGCGGCCCTCT